CACCTCAGCCTCCCAAAGGCGCGGGATTACAGGCTGAGCCACCGAGCCCGGCTTTATATAATTTTTAATGGCTGCATAGACTGTGTTCCATCGGGAAAATGTACTGTGAAATGTACCAATCCTCTATTGTAGACACTTAGGTTGTTTTAAGTATTTTCTATTAGTACAGCGTTGGGTATCTTTGCAAATAAATCTTTCCATATATTTCTGATTATTTTCTTATGAGAGATTGCTAGAAAGGGCCTTCCTGATCAAATAATATACGTATTTTTTAAGGCTACTGGTAGATATAGCTAAATTCCTCTCTTGCACTTCTATATTAAGATAATAATTAGGGAGATGCACATCACATCAGTAAGGGTACCTGATCCTAAACCAGGCAAAGGGAAGACTAGTGGGAGGCCCAATCTTCACCTGTACGTGGACCACTCATGTTTCTAATCCTGACTTGTACCACATCTTTAAAATAAAATATTTTAAAAAGAGAAAAAACTTCTCCTGCTCATGCAAAATAATAATAATAATAACTATATAGGATTCTAACTGTAATCAAAATCTGTGTCTTAAGCCATTCTGACATAACTCTACAGTCAGTAGTATGAAACCCAGTTCTGTAAAAGGGAAGATGGGAGATTATTAGTAATTCACAAAGTACGTAATATCCTTTCAGCTGGGGAGCTTAAGAAGTACTATTGCAAATTATCCCTAATTTCCTAATTATGAAATACACAGTTTTGTTTATCAAGTTTTATTGAAATGAGATAATGCTGTATAACCTATATAAAATAGACTAATGATGTGATTTTGTTCCAGTGTTTACATCAAAATGAAACTATGTAATTTGAATACTGGATTTTTTACATATTGAAATGTTTTCCTTTTTTTTACTTTTAGCAACATAAAGAAGATCCCCAACAGTCATTTCTCAACAATTATATAGTCAACTGATGTAACAATGGTACTAATATTGGGACGCAGACTAAACAGAGAGGATCTCGGGGTGCGTGATTCCCCAGCAACTAAGCGTAAAGTTTTTGAAATGGACCCTAAATCTCTGACAGGTCATGAGTTTTTTGACTTCTCTTCAGGCTCATCCCATGCTGAAAACATACTCCAAATATTTAATGAATTCCGAGATAGCCGCTTATTCACAGATGTTATCATTTGTGTGGAAGGAAAAGAATTTCCATGCCATAGAGCTGTTCTCTCAGCCTGTAGCAGCTACTTCAGAGCTATGTTTTGTAATGACCACCGGGAAAGCCGAGAAATGTTGGTTGAGATCAATGGTATTTTAGCTGAAGCTATGGAATGTTTTTTGCAGTATGTTTATACTGGAAAGGTGAAGATCACTACAGAGAACGTACAGTATCTCTTTGAAACATCAAGCCTCTTTCAGATTAGTGTTCTCCGTGATGCATGTGCCAAGTTCTTGGAGGAGCAACTTGATCCTTGCAACTGCTTAGGAATCCAGCGCTTTGCTGATACCCATTCACTCAAAACACTCTTCACAAAATGCAAAACTTTTGCATTACAGACTTTTGAGGATGTGTCCCAGCATGAAGAATTTCTTGAGCTTGACAAGGATGAACTTATTGACTATATTTGTAGTGATGAACTTGTTATTGGTAAAGAGGAGATGGTTTTTGAAGCTGTCATGCGGTGGGTCTATCGTGCGGTTGATCTGAGAAGACCACTGTTGCATGAGCTCCTGACACATGTGAGACTCCCTCTGTTGCATCCCAACTACTTTGTTCAAACAGTTGAAGTGGACCAATTGATCCAGAATTCTCCTGAGTGTTATCAGTTGTTGCATGAAGCAAGACGGTACCACATACTTGGGAATGAAATGATGTCCCCAAGAACTAGGCCACGCAGGTGAGAAGACTGTTTCCAAGTATAGTTAACAAAGTTTTTGTTTTTAAAATATCTTTAAATCTCCTGAATGCAGTTATAGGGTATTCATTTATATGCATGATCTACATGTGGCTTTATATAATTTTAGATTTTATTTTTAGATTACATAAGTCATTAGAATGTCTTTCCCAGTGAAGACTAGATTCAACAATAACGTTTTTTGTTATTGTTGTTCTGAGCTATCAGAGGATGTTACAAAGGGTCTTTGCAACTGTGCATGTCTCAACATATCTCTACTAATTTCTCTTAACCTTTGTAGACCACAAACCATTTCACTTTTCCTTCCAGGGAGTCATTGGATACAGAGTAGCTAAAGATTTTAGTAGATTCTCTTGGACTGCTTCTACTTATAAAAAACAATTTGCACACTTACAGACTGTCCCTTTTGTAACAGAGAACATGAAATATAGAGGTGAAGTAAGTAAACAGTAGCTTACTTACTTCACTTCTGTATTTGAGTAAATTCTCAGATGTAAAATCCAGGCCTCAAATCTTTTTGAATTCCCACAGTTACTATATTTAATGTCAATCTCCTTTTTCTAATTATGAAAATTATATAATCATTATAGAGAATTTGGAAAATTTATGCTTGTGAGTAGAATGCAATTAATATTATACCATATTTGTATCTTCTAGTAGGTTATTTCTGTAAAGCACCTATAGATTTTAATCTTATTTTTCTATAAGCTATAGAAAAATAATCTGCATACCTTTATAATGGAAGGAATACTATTAAACATTGTTTATTGTGAATAAGAAAGAAATACCTTTTGTGAGAAATATTACAGTAAAGAATCCTTTTAATATTTTCCTAAAAAACTAATGTTGGATTTTTTTCTTATTATGGTAAAACACACATAACATAAAATGTACCATCTTAACTGTTTTAAATTGTACAGTGTTGTAGTGTTAAGTATATTCATATTGTTGTTAAACTAATGTTTGTTTTTATTTCCCTATACTATCTCCGTTTTTTTCAACTTACTACAACGTAGCTGACAAGCCACATTTTTAGCTTTGACCTTGAATTTCATTGTTTTGGAATGTGATTAAAATTTAGCATATTGTGTAATAGCCTGTTTTTGAAATCCACACTAGTTTTGATACAGCAAGAGTTAATGTTTTCTCATATGTAAAGTGAGAATGATGATAAATAGTGTTTACAACATAGGTTTTGCCATCGAAATTATTAAATGCCATAATTCTTACGTCATAATGGCCAGGCTTAATATCTCAGCCTATAATCCCAGCACCTTGGGAGGCCGAGGCGGGTGAATTGCCTGAACCCACGGGTTCGAGATCAGCCTGGGCAACTTGGTGAGACCTCGTCTCTACGATAAATAAAAAATTAGCCTGGCATGGTAGCGCACACCTGTAGTTCTGGCTGCTTGGAAGACTAAGGCGGAAGGATCGCCTGCACCCAGCAGGTCGAAGCAGGAGTCATGGTGAGTGTGCCACTGCACTCCAGCCTGGCACTCCAACTCAAAAAAAAAAAAGTGCTTAATAATTGTTAACTATTATTATTTATATAGTATAATATAGGCCTGATCCACTTTAAGAAAACTTCAGTACTTGAAAGCCTGAACTTTTTATAAATTAGATAAAATATTAGGTAAATATTATTACAAAAAATTAACAATTTTTTTTTTTTTTTTTTGAATTGGAGTCTCACTCTGTCGTCCAGACTGCGGCCACTGCAGCCTCGACCTGCTGAGCTCCGGCAATCCTTCCACCTCAGCCTACCAAGTAGCTGGAACTACAGGCATGCGCTACCACACCCAGCTAAATTTTTTTTGATTTATTGTAGAGATGAGGTCTCACCAAGTTGCCCAGGCGGGTCTCGAACCCGCGGGCTCAGGCAATACGCTCACCTCAGCCTCCCAAAGCGCGGGATTACAGTCTGAGCCACCGAGCCCGGCTAACAATATTTATTTGTATTGGGGTAAGAGTACATTTTTTTTCTTCAAACTTAGTTGACCTTATTTAAAAATAATAGTTTTAAAAGAAAGAAATATGCAAAACATTTTATTCCTAGTCTTTTAGCAAAAAACAAAAAACATACAGTTTTATTCTATGTAAATCAAAAGAGATGATTTACATCCTCTTTTTTTTAAGGACTGTTAAGACACTTGGTCTGAGCTTAAGAATGCAGAAAGACCAAGCTTCCTTAATGTATTAAGAAAGCTAAACAGCTTTGGAGCTGTGTGATTATCAGCTCTTCCAGAACTTTTCTGAACATACAGTGTCCCTCCAAAGGGAACATCACTCCTTTTTTCAAGCAGAAGGATCTGGAGTCAGGTGGGGCTAATAATACTCATCCTACATATCTCATAGGATTACAGTAGGAACCAAGGGTTATATGTTATAAAATCAAAATAAGTAATTTATTATTAATATTACTTATAAAGACATGATCTGAATCAGATTGCAGCCTAAGTGTCCCATCACTCTTTCAAAGAAATACTTTCTCTAATTCACTTAACTATTTGATTTCCCAAAATGTATTTTACATCTAATTTTTTTTTTTTTTAAGTTGGAGTCTCACTCTGTCGCCCAGACTGGAATGCAGTGGCCACTCCCGGCCACCGCAGCCTCGACCTGCTGGGCTCCGGCGATCCTTCCGCCTCAGCCTTCCAAGTAGCTGGAACTACAGGCGCGTGCTACCACGCCCGGCTCATTTTTTGATTTATTGTGGAGATGAGGTCTTGCCAAGTTGCCCAGGTGGGTCTCGAACC